CTTATACACCTAATACAGCCATTTTTGGCCTCCCAAAGCCCGGTTCCTGCATCCCATTTTTGCAAAGAACTTAGGCATTTTTGCCTTCCCCCAGTCCCCAGCAGCACTCTGCAGGCTTCAACAGGGCTGGGGAAAGGCAAAAACGGCTCTGTTTTGCGAAAAACAGCCCGTTTTCTGCCCGTTTTTTGCAAAAACTGTGTTTTTGCCTTCCTTCTGCCCTGCTGAAGCCTGCAGAGTGCTCCTGGGACCAGGGAGGACAAAAACTTTTTTTTCTTACTTACCTCTTCGAAATCTTGGTGCGTCTTCTACACCAGTGGATCTTATAGTCCGAAAAATATGGTAGTTTCATTTCTGAATTATTATTTATCTATTTTTATATATGTATGACTACAGATTTAGAGATGAATATACTTGGTCACAGAGTCAGCCAGATATTTAGACTGGATTTGGCATTTTATCCACCTATCAAGTCCTTTCCAAGGTCCTGAGATAGATGTTATTAATATTAGTTTATTATTAATTATATCACAAAGGAGTTTATTTTCATTTTATGGTTAAATATGCTTTTTAAAAAAAATAGTTACAGAGAAAAAAGATCTTACTGAAATGTCAAAATACCTTATGAATGGATGGGGGTAATTGGCAATTCCTGTTTTAAACAGGTTTGGATCATTTGAAATTTTTAAATCTGCTGATGAATTGACAGGACGTAAAGGTCCAAGTGTTGGTAGAAATGATATTAGAGTTCAAATGCTTGATTATGTGATCAGCACTTTCTATCCAGATATTCTACAAACACACCCTGACAATAATGTTCAGAGGAATGCTGCTTTCTTTCGAGAGGTAAGGTGACAATGTAAAGTATTCATTGTTAATCTACACTTCTCCTTCAAAGGCATTCAGGGTGCCTTTTTAATATTCCGTTATTAATGCCATAGGCTAATTTCTCTCATTTGCTTATCCTTGAGTAGGAATCTGAATGGAAAATTCATGTTCACAAGCATGTTTAAATAGCATCATGCAATCTCTCAATCTCTAAATTTATTATGTTATTTTATGAAGATATTCATTTACCGTCTTTTCTTTTATTACGAAAGATTCCTGAGACTCACTTTTATTTTCAGTTTATTTTTTGTATAATTAATTGTATAATTTCAGACTTTCCAAAGTACTTTTGAAGTACTTGTTAGTCTGCAAAAAGAACAAATCATTGAAGGGCCAGTGAAATTAAACATCTACAAGCAGGAAAAATTAAGATCCCACTGCCCCATTTTCTATTCCGATGCTTATATGAAGGGCATCTTCCAAATTAAGAGCTGTATTAGATACTGAAATCTAAAACTATGAATGCTAGAATAAAAAACTTTCAACATAAACATTTGCTTACCATGTTATTACAACAAAGCTCTTCTAAAATACAATTTGTAGATTAAAAGAGCGTGACCATTATTTGGTATATATTTTAAGGTATCAAGACGGACAGCCAGGATGGTTGCTGAATGGCAGTGTGTTGGATTTTGTCACGGTGTACTCAACACAGATAATATGAGTGTACTTGGACTTACAATTGACTATGGACCTTTTGGCTTTATGGACAGGTTAGTGTAGCTCAGTTTCTTATAATGTATTGATACTCTTTTTTCAATTTTGGTCAATAATTTAATTCCAGCACTTTTTCTTTAATAGTAATGTTAGAAACAGTGGAAGAAACTGAAGCATGTTGAATTATTATTTCAGATAAATTGTCTTCTTGCCATGCAGCTTTTTTTAAGTAATTGAGGGGTTAGTACAAAATGATTAATTTTGCATATAGAAGTCTCATTCAGACAGGATAGAGAGATAAAACTATCCTCTTACAACTTGCCACGGCCAACTTACCACAGCCAACTTGCTGTGGCCAACCCACCACGGGGCAACCCACCATATCCAACTCACTGTGGAACAACGTGCCATGGGACAATTCAACAATTCAATTTAATTACAGTAGAACCTCTGGTCACGAACGCTTCTGACCATGACCAAATCGGGATCCGACCAAAAAAATCACTTTTCCCCCCGCAGCCGATTTCTCCTTCCATGCCATTTTTTTTGTAAGCACCAAATTTCCAAAATTAGGTACGGGTCACAACCAAAGTTATGGAACGAATTATGATCGTGACCAGAGATTCTACTGTATTTCAAATAATTAAAAATGTATTGTAATTTTTGTCATTCACATTTCATTTTCTCCCTCCTTTAGCATCCTTTCTTTAATGATTCTATTCCACAATTTCTTCAATATTAGTGTAACTCCTGTCCTGCAGTGAGCTGGTCATAGAGAGTTGTCCCACAACAAATTGTCTGTGGCAAGTTGGCTGTGAAGAGTTGGCCATGGTGAGTTGGCCATAGCAAGTTGTCCTAGACCCAGCTCAAGTTCAAAAGAGATGAGCTATAAAAAGATCTAGTCCCTAGACCATACTGGCATGGTCCATACTGAAAGACTATATGATATAGAAGTATTGTTGAAATTGTTGTTTAGAATAGCAATGCCATCTCAGTGAATATGATGATACAGTGTTTAAAATGAATGTGATGGCAGCTTATATACTCTGATCCCCCCCCCCAATCTTTACCTGTTGTTTGTAACTTTGTGTTTGTACCTGACTTAGATTTTATACTCATCTTAGAAAATGATGCATATTATTTTCAAATATCTAAGTGCTTCCTGCAGTATTTAACATTCTGTGCCATGTATCCCTATCAGTTCAATATTATCCAATATCATTTTACATTTTAGATCTTGTATCTTTTCTAGATATGATCCTGAACATATTTGCAATGGATCTGATAACACAGGACGATATGCTTATAATAAGCAACCAGAGATTTGTAAGTGGAATCTAACCAAATTTGCTGAAGCCTTGGTCCCAGAACTTCCATTGGAAATCAGCATGCCCATTCTGGAGGAGGAATACGATGCAGAATTTGAAAAGCATTATTTGCAAATCATGAGAAGGAAACTGGGTTTAATTCAGCTTCAACTAGATGAAGATAATAAGCTGGTCTCTGATCTCTTGGAGACTATGCACATCACAGGTTAGTCTGAATCTTTTTAAGAATACTAAAAAACAATTTGAACATTTAGATAATTATGATACATTAAAAATATTACAATTGTACAAACACTTGGAACTTAGTTATAGAAAGTTGAAAGAAAAAGCAGAGACTTTCTTATATGGCTGAAATTAACCTTCTGGTTTAATCTGCTCTGTAGGTGCAGATTTTACAAATACTTTCCGCTTGTTTAACTCATTCCCTCTGGATTTTGATCCTTTAAACCTAGAAGAGTTTCTGGATCAGATCTCAAAGCAATGTGCATCTTTGGAAGAACTGAAAGTTGCCTATAAGCCTCAGATGGATCCCAGGTACATTGAGCCATGAGACCATGCTGTGAGAGTAAACGATGCTGTGTCAGATTTTGTGAGAGAGAATAATTTAACTGCTGACAAATTAAATTTTATACATAAAAATGTAACTATGGAATAGTTCAATATGTATATTGACTGCTAAAGTTCAATATTGCTGTTACAATATTCTTATCCTGGGGGGCTGGGGGGCTGAAATAATATTTTCTTCCATATTTAAATTAAACTGGAGATTTTAAGCTATTAGCTTCTAGAAGCAATTATGAATTGAAATGAGAGACACTGTGGTTTGCCTACTAGCCACCCATCTTATAGAAATAAGACTCATCATACCATTTAACTCCAAGGATTCTTGGACCTAAGAATTACACATTTATAATATTACAAATGATAAAATATTATACGATTACACATTCATAATAAAACATGCCCTTTCATAAGCATGTACAGGGGATGTGGTGGAGTAGCTCTGCTACTAGATCTCCATTTTTGGTTACACATACCAGGATTAAGAAATTGCTGTAAGTGAAAGACCAATAGAGAAGGGAAAACAAAAAGATGAATTGGACAACTAATTCGGAGATGCCCTCCAGAACAGTATATTTCCAGAGATCCATACAGTTCTTCTCCAGTGGTATTTTGGAAGTTGTTGAAAACTGATGTGTTTGATGTGTTCAGCATGATTTTTCTGGCTATACATGATCTTTTTTCTCAATTGTGTGTGTAAGCTACCTGGAGAAATTGGGAGTCAGGTAAATTTCACCCATCCCCCTTTTCTGGCTGGAATATACATGTAGTTCAAAGGGAGAAGGGAATAAAATCATCAATACAAGGAAGATAGCAAGCAAAAGCTGCTTTGTGGTTCCATTCATGATGGAAACTGCCCATTGTGTTTTAAGGATCTTTGGGAGAAAAGCCTGAAATGAGACAGCCTGTTATGTTATAGCGGTGAAAGCACAGATGATATATGAAAAGCTAAGTCTGCCCACTTTTAAACATGCCTTTAAAGCAGCATTTTTCAAGCTTGTTGACTTTAATACCTATGGACTTCAACTCCCACATTTCCTCAGATAGCATTCTGTTTGGGGAATTCTGGGATTTAAGTTCACATGTCTTACTCATCAGGTTTGAGAATCCCACTTTAGAAGGATAAGAAAGAACTCTTGACAAGTATAATGCTTTATTATATGGAATTGATAAATGGTTTTTTTTTCTAGACAACTTTCCATGATGCTGATGTTAGCACAGTCTAACCCACAACTCTTTGCCTTAATTGGAACAAAGTCTAATATCAATCAGGAATTGGAACGAATAGAACAGTTCTCTAAACTGCAGCAATTAACAACCTCCGATTTAGTCAATAGAAATAAAAAAACCTGGAAAAATTGGCTGCAAAATTACAGGTGAGGTTATTTACATTCTCTTTGCTTTAGCGCCTTTGTTTCCTTTTGATGAGGTATATTCATTGGTGGGCTGCTACGGGTTTGCCTAGGTTGGTGAGAACTCATAGCTAATGTTATGCCTGGTTCAGAGAACCTCCAAATCCCACCCCTGGCTGGCCCTGCCCACCCCACCCTACCCCTTCCCTCCCAGGAGTCTCTATGCAGCCCATTTCAGATGCGAGGAAAGTGCAGGGTCTGTGTGGAGGCTCAGGGAGTGAGGAAAATGGGCCTCCTGGAAGTTCTGAAGGGCCCTGGGGGAGGCAGTTTTCACCCTCTGAGAGGCTCAAGGAAAGCCTCTAGAGCTTGGGGAAGGTGAAAACAGCCCTCCCTCTATGGTGCAGGAGGCCGACTATGCCACGCCCACCATAGCCATGCCCACCCAGCAACCAGGCACTATGAGATTTATCCTGAATTACGTACTTTTAAAATATATTCAAATTAATGTCTTTTATTTAACAGTCTCTTTTAAATGAATCATTTCATTTATTTAACAAACTATTGATCTAGGCACTCGTTTTATTCTGCTTTCAGAGTTAGGCTGGAAAAAGAAATAGAACACATTAGCAATACTGACACGTGGCACGATGAGCGCCTGAAAATTATGAATGCCAGCAATCCAAAATATATATTGAGGAACTACATTGCACAAAAGGCTATTGAAGCAGCAGAAAATGGTGATTTTCTAGAGGTAAACAGTTTTTCCCATATTTATACGTTGTTTTCTTTCCCCACCCATCTCATTGCAGGAATTCTGGGTGATGTATCGGTGGTTAAAACCAAGCAACAATAAAATTGAATAACCACTAATCCCCATCACCCAAGTCCGGGGTCAAGAAAAAAATCATTCTAGATTTCCCACAAAAAAGAATGAAACCAATCAAACTCTTGTGAGATGTGCAGGGGTGAGGTGCGGGTTCCAGATCCAAAGGACACTATTAAGAACAATCCTGTGTCACTGTCTTGTTCTCCTTTCCTTTCTCTCCAGGTGAGAAGAGTCTTGAAACTCCTAGAAAGTCCCTATGAAGATTCAGAATGCTTCCTAGAGGTCTCTGAGGAGAGGGAGGAGGAAGAAAGTGTGATGGCAGCTGCTTCTGCTGTTGCTACCTGCAGCTCAGGAACCCAGGAAAAAATTCCATACAGCAGCAAGCCTCCACTTTGGGCATCGGAGCTCTGTGTGACCTGATCTTCGTAACTGCCTTGCTAAAGTTTTCCCCAAAGAGGTTGCAAAGCTTTTGGGAGTGGAAAGAGTAGCAAGGTGCTGTAGAAGTGCTATTCAGTCTGAACAGACCATTTGGGTGTTTTCCTGTCTCACCCAAGCCACATTTATTTTATCAGATGTGACAATCAATTCTCCGGGCACCCACTTAATATCATATGCCGGGTAACTCGGTAGGTTGAAGTTTGATCTTCTTTCTTGAGCAGGAAATGCTATTACATTTTTACGCACACTAGCTGGTGAACATCCAAATGAATCTGTGTTTTTGAAGACAAAAATATAAAGCCAGATGCTGGATGTATTTTTGTCTGAAAATGAACTACTAGTACTTCAGAGCTATGTTTTTAATTTTTAGTTAATGCAGGGATATTTTGATTTTTTCATTGGGAAGCAAGATGCTTTTATTTTGAAAATGTGTTCCACTTAAGCAGATTGTTCATTTATTGTGACTTAATCATGAAAATATTATCACAAATTCTGTTTTTCTTGTTGGTTCAAGGCTGTATCCTGCTTTCTACATGCAGTCACTGAATGAGGAATATATAAACACTTTACTCCAGAGGTGGGTTGCTCCTGGTTCGGCCCAGATCGGGCGAACCGGTAGTGGCAGCAGCGGGAGGTTCCGCCCACCCGCCTGGACGCTTCTGCACTTGCGCAGAAGCATCGCACACATATGCATGAGCACAAGCAAACTGGTAGCGCCAGGATTTGCAACCCACCTCTGCTTTACTCCCCCCCCCAATAGATTTTCAAAGTTAATGGCACCAATTACTTGTTGAATAGATGAACAAACTGAATTTAACTTTGTTACTCCTTAAGGGTAGCAAAGAGTCCTTGAGGGGTGATTCATTAGCCTCCTAACTTAAGGAATATAGCCTCAGAGTGACATCTTTAAACTATATTGCTGTAGTAGATAAAAATATAAATTACTGATTTTGAACAAATCCCCCGCATTCCAATGTTGTATTTTGTATAGGTTGCGTATTTTTTTGTGTTTCAAATTTGCTACCTCAGGAGTTTTCCATTTTTCCACTTTTTGCTATCTGAAGTGTATTGTCGAGTTATATTTTGATTGCATTTGACTATAACATTCAGCACATATTTCAATTGAAGATCGTTCAATGAAGTAACTGGATGAAAGCATCTCTTAACTGAAGAATGTCTCATTGGGTGGGTGGGTGGGTGGCAATGGCTACAGTCAGAAGACATTTTGTCATCTTTGCATTGATTGGTGCTTGGATGTGATGAATATCAAAGATATGCTCTTTTTGCATTAATAATGAATTCTTGCTTCTGTTGATAAGTTGACAAATAGTAGATAAATTCTGAAAAATAAAAATCTAGATTACAGGTGGTCCTTGGAGCCTGCCTATTAGGGTTATAAATTGTGACGGTTGTAAAACGGGTCAGTCCCAGGACCAACCTGATTTTACTATCTTTCTACAGTCATTAAGCAAACACCAGTTGGTAAGCAAATGCCATGGTTTCTAAGCAAGCTCCTTGTTCATTATGGCATGGTTTTGCTGAAATCCAGAAACGCCAGTTTGGTGCAAAACTCATAAAATGCAGTCAAATGACTGTGGGATGCTGTATTTGATCACAGTGCATACTTCCGAGTGCTCAAATGTGAGTCATATGACAGCAAGGTTGGGGCAACCGTCAGAACTTCAGATCCAGGTTGTAATTCTCCTTTTGTGGATCCATTTTTGAATAGTCCCTAACCAACTGGTCTAAGTTAAGGACCGCCTGTATTAAGGTATTAATAAGACTTTAAGTCATACTATACTATTAACAAGTCACTAAGTTATACCATTAAAAGGTCTTATGTTTTTAGGTCTTTTTGGTACCGTTTCCCCGAAAATAAGACAGGGTCTTATTTTCTTTTGACCCCCGAAGTAAGTGCTTGGCCTTATTTTCAGGGAAGTCTTATTATTTTTGAGGTGCAGGAGGTGGCGAGAGTGGTCACCTCATGGCTGCTGCTGTGTTGCAATATTTTCAGGGAGGGCTCATTTTAGCACATGCGCTCAAAAGCCTGAGTGGGCTTATTATCTGGGGAGGTCTTATTTTTGGGAAACAGGGTACTTGTTTAAATAAAACAAGACAGATACGAATAAAATTAAGCAATTTTATTGGCTCTGGGTTTCTTTGGCAAGGCAATAAAAATACACCATGTGAATGTTGTTACAATGATTTAAGTATTTTAAATGAGTGTTATGATTTTTATTATCATGCATAAAATCTGCAAGCTGTCACCATGAGCTATATTAATTGAAAATAAATGAATCTGATGATGTTTATAGCAAATGTCTATTTTTTTGGATAAGAAAATTAGGAAATGAATTTTTGAAATTGTTATGTACAACTAATTTCTTGTTTTTGGAAGGTGCTGTAGTAAGTTGATCCCAGATTTTTGTTTTTAGTGTTGTCCTAGGAACTATCTTTGACTTAAAGATATGCTTGCGAAGGACTAATGGTGGGATTGCCGTTCACTCTTTGAAAAAACAGCTGCATTTAGACAGAAATCCATCCCAGCTCGTTCCCTTATACATTCATATTTACTCATAAGCATCCAAGATGGTGATGCAACTGTGATTAGTTGCACCGCTAGGTTTTTCAAGGATGTGTAATCCAGTAGCAGCCTCACCTCATCCAGGTCCTTGGCTTACAAAGCAAATGCTAAGATGGAGGTATAGGAGACAATATAGGAGGAAAGGTGATAGGCAAACTAGGGAACCAGAGGCTGTGTCTGGAGATTGGTAGCTATTATAAGTAGATAAAAGGACTTTTGGTCAACTGCTATAGCCACAAACTATGGTGAGCAGCATATCCTGGTGAGAGTCCTGCCTGGATCTTGAAAGCAACTAGAAAAGGAGCAATTACCGTGAAATAACACATCCCAACTAGTGCAACAATTTTTGGAAAAGGACGGAATTTGTCTTTGGAAAGCAAAGAACCTTTACACTCCTTAAACAAGTATTTCTACCTTCTTGGTGCCCATTAACGCATACAGAATTGCCCTATAAGCACAAAGCAAGCTTGCAAAGAATCTGAATGCAACACATAAGCTACATACTTGTGCCTACAAAGTGTAATGGAATAAGGTAAACTTAAAAGCTTTGGTAATATGCTAGTAACTTGTCAAGGACTAAAGCAATATAACACACTTTTGCATTCAGCACCTCTGCCATCTCTTCTCTCCCTCACATTTCCTCCCTCCTTCCCATTGCAAAGCAATAAATAGTAAAATGTATATGCTTGCCCAAATCCCAGTGACCCTGGATGTCTTCTGGTGTGTCTTGATGCTAATTAAAAAGTAATAAAGGATACAATAAGAACACTGAGGGAAATGTGAGGAGTGTGGGAGCTATATTTGGAAATGATTTAGAACTATAAAAAAAATTTCACAGCATCTATAATCATAGGCCATTCCAGCATAATTAAACAAACATATTCTGGATTGTGTACATATTAAATCTATCCACAAAGAAGTAATTATCAGGAAGTTTTCTTTTTTTTTACTCTGAACATCTGCATATTGATTACAAAATAATAAATTTATGCTTTGCTCTTTATTACACATTTACATGAGAAGCTTTTACAATGCTAAAGGAAGAATTTACACATTAACAAATTTACATTTATGCACGCTTTGATATATCACACCAACATGGGAAACATGCTTCCGTGAGAAGGCAGTATGAACTGGTACCATGCTATGTGAGGAAAATGGAGCATCTTGCATCTGTATCAATGGAACCATTCTACTCTGTCACTGTTCAGTGGGAACTCTTCAAAGCTTCTGAGGTCAGCGGCTTTCAAATGGCCTGGGCTTCTTATAATGCACAGAGCAGTTAGTCTATTGTAAAGGCTTAGTTATCCTTGTAATAGTTGTTGAAGTTAATTCGTAGTAAGAAATCTTCCAGGTGAGGCTGGTATCCTCTGTTGATAAGCTTTGTTACTACTGCAGGAAAAGAGGGAAAACTTAGAAAAGTCAATCGATCAATTGAATCTGCATCTTCACAGAAACAGATTATGGCAAGAGAAATATTACTCAAATGTTCTTATTGGAAAAAGCAAAGTGGCCCTGGAATGAATCCTTGCAATAATGAGCATCAATTGGATGATGCATATCAAATCCTAAACTTTAATTATTTCTCCCAGCAGTTTCATTTAACTGCAGAGAATCTTGTCCAGCATCCTGCCCCACTAAGAGTGTTTTAGATATCCTGCATAAAGAGGGATGCTGTCAAGTACATTGGTAAGCACAGCAATAATCAGCTGGCTTTCCTTAAACAGCTGTAAACAGTGGAACTTAAATTCTGAATAAAAAGGGGAATGAAATTCAGCTCAAAATTAGGGGTGAAAGTAGGCCTGAAGGAAAAAACGCATGCTATGGAAAATATGACCCTTAATTTAGGGATGAGGGCAGGGTGAACCAGCTGCATATTTATCGTAAGGAACCAAACAATTACAAAGAGGACTGTGGAAAGAGAGTGTGTATTGTTGTCATCTGCCTTATTTATGCAAACTGTTGCAACCTGAGGGGTTATATAGCAGGAAAAGGTGGATAGGATATTGCAGACTGCAGAAGCACAGCTGAGGCTGCACCTGACTTCACTGAGGTTTCACCACCTTGATACTAAGTGATGCTTCAATTTAATATGAAATGAAGTGAAAGTGATTTTTCTTCTGCACCTTAAAATAAAGACTATGTTGTTATTTCCCTTGAAAGTTTGCTCTAAGGAAACTGATAAATTAATCAGTCTTCATTTTAAATGTAATTTTTAAAAAGATTAGTCAAATATGCCGTGTTTGAGTTTCATTTTGATTTTCAGATTAACATTAGAAAAAAATTACATGGCAAGTCTTACCATTGAAGAGAAAATGAGAGTAATATTTGAATGTGTTATAGGACTGCTGCATTAATCCAAAGTTAGGGTGAACAGCCACATGTTTGCTGCTATCAAAATTCCATGACTGAGAGATTAACTGGCTACGAAACTTTAAAATGAGGCTAAAGATGCTGTGAATTATATTCATCACAGGGGCTGCCTTTTCTGTCAATAATCCCCTGTCAAGAAAAAAAAGCAAAGATATATTTTAAACATATATCAATGTAAAATTAACTGACAGGCAGCAATGCAATGCCCTCTAACTTTGCAATCGATTTAATAGATGCATCAACAGTTATAAAAACATGCATTAAGTCTGGAAACAAAGAAAATATTAAAAAGAAACTGGCTCCTTGCTTCTTAAACATCTTGTTCTCAGAACTCTTTCCCACTTTTAAAAATTAGAGCACCCAAAAGCAGCTTTTGTATATATTTATCATTTACCATATTCAGAATTAAAATTGATTGATTCACAGAGTATTTATCATTGAATCATGTAAAATAGTATACTAACCCCATTAGATACTAACCTTTTGTTCATGAAAATCTCCAAGTTTTTAACAAATAAAAAATAGTAAGAGTGTAATTGATTTACATCAGGGGTGTCAAACCTGCGGCCTGTGGCCCAGATGCGTCATGCACTGGCCATGCCCACCCCCATTTTAGCGAAGGGAAAAATCACGATACATCTCATGACAACAATGTGACGACGTGAGTTTGACACCCCTGATTTACATTTTGTAAAAATGTAAATGTAAAAAATATCTTCAATATCTGGAAAATAACTTTGCTTTTGTGAACCAGAGAAGGCCTGGGTGATTTCCAGAAAGGTTCTGCTATAACCTTTCTTAATAAACTATACTTGCAGTCAAACCTGTGTGAATTCTGTTGTGACCCTGGACTGCCTTAAAGGCTTGACATGAATCTTGACTCTTCCCTGCTCGGCAAAGAGTCATAATTACTGTAAGGAAGCAATTACAAAGAGGATTGGGGAAAGAAACCACTTGTGCAAAGGATCCTAACTATATTTATTTGATTTTATTTGTCATTTACTATAAGCCATTTTGGGAGACCTATTATCCTAAAAGGATATAAATTACTGTAATCAATCAATTATCTAACAGGCCCTAGGGTTCAAACAAAGTACAAATGTATAAAAACTTCCAAGAGAAGCCACAAGTGGTTCTGTACTAGGGTGGCCACAGTCCAGATTGCTCTCGAGAACATACACAGACTGACTTTGAAACAATCTTAAAGGAATTATTTCTGCTACTTGAAGTACTGTAAAATATTCTCTTCATTCCTGCAATGCAATGCAAGCAAATACTTTCTGTGATCCATCAATGCACAATGCATCTGTTCTGCTACATTATAGTAGAAGTAAACCCAAACCAAGTCAGTAAGTATAATGGAAATCCATGTTCATCCAACCTTTTACTTATATGAACACTATTGATAACATAAGCAGACAAGTTATACAGTTTCCTTACCGAAAGATTGCTTTGTTGAGATATTCTGCATGTGTTCTATAAATTTCTTCCAAATTTCCCACAGAAGACAATTTATTCCCAAATTCGCACCAAGTGACATGTAAAATCTGATTAGCAATATAACCTTGAATAACTTTAACAAAATGCTGCATTTCATGCTTATAAAGCTGTAATTGTCGAAACTGGACTGAGTTTGATGCATGTTTTACTAATGCTGAAAAACAAATATTACAAATGTAATCATTCAATCACAGGGTCATTTATTTATTTAAAAATGAAAAACAGTATTTTAAACCCAAATCTAAAAGAAAAAAGAATACATATAATTTAAGGTTAATGAATCACTGCTAAAATGTAATAATGTTGAATCAAATATTACATGATCAATAGAATGCATGCAAAAATACTTCAATGGAAAAAAAGAAATATTTGGCAGAAGTACGCAAATCAGTCTTACCAGTTCGCTTTAAGTGGAACCAGACATCTTTAAGAGTCCATACCATATGTTTCAGCTGTAGCAGGAAGGAGAATATCTTGTTATATTTATTCATACAGTTTTCAGTAATTACAATATTTAAGGGCCAGTCCACCTAAAAGAAAAAGAAAATAATTGTCACTGCACACGAATCTATATTTTGCAACCTTTTGAGATAGAAACTTAACACACATATGCATTTATAAATAGTATCAGAAAATATTCAGAATCAATTATTCTAATAAATCAACCATGGCTTTAGAACAGCGGCCCCCAATCTTTTGGGCACCAGGGGCTGGTTCCGTGGATAGAAGTGTTTCCACACACCGGTGAGGGCATGGTTTTCTATGCTGCCTGCATCCACAGATAGGGATTCACTTGTTTCTGTGGTCCGGTTTCTGGCATGGTGTGGCCCGGTGGAACAGGTTGCCACTGCTTTAGAATACAAGTCGAAAAGTTCCATGGGCATCTCACCTTGTATCGTAGGTCCAAGCAGGCTAGGGCATCAGGCGCATTGGGTTTGAACATGTCTGGGAGGTATTTCAATGCGAAAGAGAGGTTAGAAGCCAAGTGACTGTCACCATGAAGACTGTACTGAAGTGCCTTATTCAAGATGGAATTGAGGACTAATGGATTCAGAAGTTCACCAGGTGTCTGTCCTGATCCCAGCTTGAATGAGAAAATAGCATATTAGAGGCTGAGAATTCACTGAGCAGGATGTAAGCAGAAGTTAAGCATGCTGTTTATTACCAGAAAATCTCCTTGTGCCAGAGTTTCCTATAATGCACAGTTCCTAGACTGGCTGTTTGCTCTTTACCACATTGGAAACACAATAATGAAATGGCAATTTTCTGAACTATCATCAGATTAATCTTGGCAAATAGATATAATTCAATACCTTTTCAAAAAGCAAATCACTGAGTGATTGAGCAAATTCTCCATCTTCCATTAACAAAAAATGCCTCAATGCTTCAAAATGTTTCTCAACATTCAATTCCACAAAATAATAATCCACAATGGCTTTGTTCACAAGGGAAACACTAGAAAAAAAAATAGGTGATCCAAATTTTAAAATGTAGAATTAAAATTCTCTGCTAATTATAAAAGGGAAGAAACAAAACCAGCTAGACTAAGATAAAATGAACTAAATCATAAATCAAGCTGTGAAATATATTAAAGATCATGACCCTTTTAATCCTCTATACAGAATTAATGGTTAGTTTCTACAAAAGATCTTATTAGTTCAACATCGTTTGGTTGCTTTTCAAGTAAGGATGTACCATGTGTGTTGAAAATAAAAAGTTCCTTTCAAAGACGCCTTGTTTTTCACCCTAACTCTTCATCATATTTGTATGTAATTCCTTTGGCCTGATGAAGAAAAGACTGAAGAGGAAATACGCTATGACATTTATAGATCTAATACAAGTTATCACCGTATTTTTCAGAGTATAAGTTGCACCAGAGTATAAGACGCACGAAGATTTTGAAGAGGCAAATAAAAAAAAAAAGGGGGTTTGCACTCTGCAGACCTCCCCAAAACAGCCCGTTTTTCACGGAAACGGGCCTGGTTTTTTTTCCAAAAAAAAAAAAAAGGGCATGAATAGCCTTTAGGAAGTTTTTAGAGTGCTCCTGGGGGGGTTGCCCCCCCAAATGAGCAAAAAATAGCCCATTTTTTGCAAAAAGTGGCCCATTTTTTTTTATTTAAAAAGGGCATGCATAGCCTTTATGAAGCTTGTAGAGTGCTCCTGGGGGGTGCCCCCCAAAATGAGGAAAATGGCCCATTTTGTGCTCATTTCTGCCCTCCCCAGCACCCAGGAGCACTCTGAAAGCCTCCTAAAGGCTATGCATGGCCATTCTGGTGAAGGGGGCAGGGTTTTGGGAGGCAAAAAATGCTGTATTCAGTATATAAGACGCACCCAGATTTTCAGCCTCTTTTTTTGAGGGAAAAAGGTGCATCTTATATTCCAAAAAATATGCTGTATATGATATACATTGTTTCTACAATAATCACTAACTTGTCTATACAATTGACTCAATAAAAGGAGGGGGAGATGATAATTTGTTTGTCCTTAACAAAACAATGTGAACAGAACAACAAAGTACTCTTACATATTGACTTAATAGTTCCAACACTACTTACTGAGAAACTAAGGGGGTAGTGATTGACCGTTTCATCAGCACAGGAAGTGATAAGAGCTCACTTAGTTGTACAGCTGTTTCATCTGTTGCTGATTGTACTGAGGGATCTACAGGGAAAGTGTAGGATCTGGGGATCATGTGATGTAAGAGATGGGAAACTGGAAGCTCGGCTGCATTACAGATAAAACAAAAATTTGTAAGGCAAAACATTATTATTTTTAAAGATTATCGAAAGGTAAAATACAATAAATCGAACAATCAATATGCAACAATCTGTAGTTTGCACTTACCATCTTAGTATATAGATAACAACCATAAAGTAATGGAAGTATTTATAAAATGTTGTTCACAAAATTGAAAACTGAATGGAATCACAAATGCCAAAGAGTAGAAAATTTACAGTAAATTAGATTATTAATCATGGGAAGAAAAAAGGTACACAGAAACATAACAACAGTTGGGCAGGGATTCTCCAAATCAAATTTTCAAGGATTGAAAATTTCTCTTCTGGATCATTCCCAGAAGTTAAACCTAAACTAGAAGCAATTTAAAATGTTCCAGATGAAATTTGGGGTGGACTATGTTTGGAGCATTACATGGAGCTTCCAGAGTGGATAATTAACTTCCAGGAAAACATCCATAATAGGTACATTTCTCATAACATTCAGCTCTGCACAATCTTAATCAGAGATTAAGAGAGTTGTACATTTTTGTAGGCCCTAAAATACTTACACAGATCATGCACCAAAGTTTTACCTACTATAGTGACCATTCAATGAAAAAAGAAGCATATTAAACCTTGACTTATTACTGAGCCTCTCTTTTCTCAGCCTTTAGAATTTAATCAAATTAGAATTTAAAAAAAGATTTAAAAAATTCACCCTCCCTAGGCTTAACAAAGTTAGTGGTCATTGATGTAGAACATCTACAGCAAATGTGACCAACCCACGGGCAGCATGCAGTCCTGAACAGCTAGTTATGCGGCCCCACAAGATTGTAAACGTTTAACACCATTATGTGATTTTTTTAACGATATTATATTATATATTTTATATGTGGCCCAAGACAAATTCACTCTTCACTCAATGCAGATCAGACAAGCCAAAATGTTTGGATATCCATTATCTAAAGATCATAAACTCCTCATCCTTGAGCTACTGAGTTATAGGTTAGCAACACTCAGAATTATCTTCTTTGAAAAGTTGTATCATATCAAGCAGTTTCACTGTCTTAATGCATCTCGCATTGAGACTACTCACACATAAATTCATATTGATCCTGATATTTTTCCAGGCAATATTGATTAGATAAGGCTTGCAGGTAATCATCTTCTTTCTTCCATATAGCAACACTGGTGCTTTCTCCTTCCTGGTTTTCAGACATGATGACCTCAGAGACAGACGTTTGCTGAGTCACAACACACAATGAGGTTGATTTTTCAGGTTCTTCTACCTGATGAAAAAGAAATATTGGTATTATAATGTTTCTTCAATTGGTATATTTATGTAGTCTCATTCATTTTTCTAAATTCTAAAATATTCAAATTGACATAAAAATATAATGGAACAACAACAGAAATTTCTCCAGTTTCTATAGTGCAAAAATGTTAGTTTTTCCCATATAAACCAACAATTAATTTCAATTAAATATATTAGCATTAATATCATCACATGGTCTCTGAATCATTCCTTAAAATTGCTAACTCCCTAGCTAGTTAGTTAGAAAAGAAAGGAAAAAAAGAGAAAATCCTATTTTAATGCTAAGAGATAGTGGAAGATAATATCCTTGCCTCTCTTTCTTTCTGTTGTTCAACTGCTCCTTATGGAGACAGCAGACTCCATAGCTACACATTGATTCTGGCATTCCTAAGCAAAATCAGCTGAGTGAAGCAAAGCATGCTAAGAAGCAATAGCCAAAGCAGCAATATCAGAATACTACTATTCTATATATTTTCCTTGCTGGCTTAGCCTTGAAAGCCTCTGCCGAAATGGTTATTGGAAAATAAATGATCCTTTGCATTTTGAAACAGTACAAAAAGATGGGATTCATAAACTTATTCTTCTCACCAGGAAAGTCTGAAGATCTTCAATATCTCGGATGACCACTATATGAAAAAAGAAATATTATGTGGGGGAACAGAAGAAATACATAAGGTTCATATATATAAATTGAATGTCCTCTTTGTATTAAGTATTTATATTTCATATAAATATTTTATGCTTTAGCCATACTGTATATATTATTTACCTCCCCCAATAACCAGAGAGAAGAAACATCAGGATAATATATTTTTGGAATCATATCTCTTAGTTCAGTTTTAGTGTAGTTCTTAATAATATTGGATTTTAATATTTTAACATTTTAAAGTTGTTTTATAACCTGTAGCCTGTTTTTAGTTGCATAAACAGCTTTCAGCTACTAAATGCCATTCATTTTCCATTTATTTTTATATAAGGGGGGACATTCTTAAGATTTGTTCAAGTATTAATTTAATCCAGTTTTAATTATTTTAATGTACCTGACAAATCTTTAATTTTGCTACACAGCTTCCCCAAACATGACCTCCTGACTGCTCCCTTCAATTAGAAAAAGTATTGGGGATTGTAGCCCACCATATTAAAGAGCAACAAGTGGGATGAGGGCTGTGCTTAGAAAACTCAGATGATTTCCATTCAGCTATTTGACCTCTCTGAATTTAACAGATTTCTTTAGTAGCTATATCATTGCATATTGGTATGTCACTCACCCTGTGCTTCTTCCCTGGAGCTTTCTTCTTCCGTTTTATCCAAGTTAGCCAACCCATTGTCAGGTGGTCTTGTTTCTTGTTCTTCTCCTTTCCCATCAGAGAGTTTCCCATTGTATAGAAATGTCTGTACTGTACAACTTGATGCAGGACCAAAACCTGCTTTAAGATGAGGTATTGGATCACTGTCAGTTGAAGGAGTCATTTCCCCCAGCTGAATACTGGACTGGGATGCATGTCCAAAGGCGCTCCATCGAGGCTTTGAACTCTCAGAATCCGAAACCAGCTCTCCAACTTTAAAGTGGGACTCAGAGGCATGGCCATGGACATTCCACCGAGGTCGAGAAGACAGACTTTCGGAAACATTTTCCCCAGTACAGATTTTGGTATCTAAAATGTTCCCCTGAGTGTTCCATCGAGTTCTCATGGCTTCTACCTTTGGCACATATTCACCGATCTTTATATTAGCATCTGAAGCATGACCATGAATATTCCACCTGGGTCTCGAGCGCTCTACCTCAGAGGCATATCCTCCAACAGGAATATGAGCTATGGAAACATGCCCATGGATGTTCCAGCGAGGTCGGTAAGTCCGTTCTTCAGAAGCATATTCTCCAACCTTGATGTGTGCATCTGAAGAATGCCCATGTGGATTTAAATGTGGTTGGGAAAGTTCAGTATGAGCAATGTAGCCTCCTATTTTAATACTCGCATCAGATATGTGGCCATGAATGTTCCACCGAGGTCTCCTGCTTTCAACATTAAAAACATTTTCACCCACCTGAATGTGGCTTTCCGAAACCGAAGGCCTGAGAACAGTGTTAAAGTCATACTCATTATCCAGAGAAGCATGGAAGACTGTTTCTCCTTCGGCAGCCTCTTTTGGCAGAGAATTACTTTCCTTTCTTTGATCACTTAAAGACAGATCTGAATTGATACTTTCCAAGGCTTCCTCCAACAGGTTTGTTTGTTGGGTTGTTTGGAATATTTCTTCCTGAGGTTTTGGCAAAAAATCTTCAAAATTCAGACCAAGTTCAGACACACCCTTTGAAAGTGTTGCCATCTGATCACTGCAGGCAGTTTGAGAAGCAACTTCTGCTTCTTCCAATTCAGAGCAGTCTGTAGGCTGCACATTTAGGGGCTGTGTTAATTCCAATGACTGATCATTTGAAATGTAATTTGTCAGTTCAGATTTTGTATCTTTTCCCATTTCCATAATCTTTTGTTGATCAGATTCTAAAGAAGTTACCTTAAGTGCAAAAATTGAAAATAATTACAATATATATGGAATTCAATTGCACAGCTGACTTATATTCAATTATTTTCTTTCACCTGAAGTTTCTGGAATTACTTATATACAATTTTATTTACTAGCTCATCTTATTGCCTTCACTATATTTCTCAAAGGGCTCAACAGTATTTCATATACCATGGAAATCATCTGGGTTACCACAAACATATAAGCACTAATCAAAGGGCATATTCATCTTTAAACCAATAACCAATTTAATGGTAGGCTACATGTATGAAGAAAGTCCCAATGCATGGGACTGCAACTTAAAACAACAATCAGGAACAGCTACTTCAAATCTGAATAGAATAAACATGGCTAAAAGGAGAAATGCTCTGAAGTAAGATAATTCCCTATATTTATTTTTAAACACAGTATTACTCATTAGCGGTGGAGCAAAGCATTGAAATGGGTACATTGCAATATGTACCAGTATAATAAAGTACACTCTGAAAGCATTATGTTTTCTGTACCAAACTAATCTTAACTTTTGTAATATTGAAATATTGAAAATACTGATCCCATTTTTCTACTTTTGAACAGGAAAAGTTATGGGTTTTTTTTAAATAATACAGAGCTAAATGATACTTTTTGTAGTTGTAAAAATGACTTTTGTCAAGTACCAGTCTATGATAAAATGTTTCTTTTTACTAGGCATTTTACTAGATTTTAAACTCTGGCCCCAAGCCATATGTGTAAAAATTACAAACCTGAAGCTCAGCATCTTTCCCTTGGCCTGCAGCCAGCATAACCTGTTGACTTTGGTCTTCTGGAATTATATTTACTTTTTTCCTGTACTTTCCACCAGGAAGCTTTTCAAGCATATCCTAAACATAAAATAGAAATATTAAATGTTTGTAGTAAGTAGGTTCAATGGGGTTTTTTAAAAAAGAAAGAAAAGTATCAGTACCTCAATATGTTTTTGATCTTTTAACAGGAAATTGAGACGGGCTGTTTCCAGTTTATGCCTCTGGATTCTCCATAAAGCTTTTTTTTCTCTACGAGCTGCATCTTCAGACAGCTTAGTATAATGGTCAATTAACTCTTGTCTAAATGGAAAGAAAAAAAACCCCAATGGTATCTTAGATCAAAGATTCTATTAAAGCAGAGCAAAACTAACAAAATTGATTAATACAAATTGCATTACTTCCAAAGTAGATTCCGCCTAAACGGTCAAAATCAGTGAGCAAGATAGATGTTCATGGAATTCAATTTAATGAAGTTACCTGTAATGTAATTATAGTGTTCCAAACTTACAAAATAATTACCTCCAAAAATCTATAAGCGAATTAACAGAATAAAAAACATAAATGCCATGTGTTGCTGTGTCTTCAGAAGGCACAATACTCTTTCCTACACAATCAAAGGGCAATATTAATGTCACTCTATCACAGCTCTCTACTATAAGTACACTTCAGTTGGTACTTTTGTGTCAGCTTGTGGGAAGTATAGTGTTCTTTTAATTGTTTACTGCGATTAGTGGTGCATAATCCATTAGATTGGCTGAATTCATCACTACGTTTGATAACTCCACAGACAAAAATATGGCATACTATCGTGTTTCCCCGAAAATACAACCTGTCCTGAAACTAAAGCCTTACCACATTTTTTGCATGGGCAAAAATATAAGCCCACCCCGAAAATAACCCCCCTGGACAACCCACTTCTCCAGCCGGGCAGAGCTCCATGCACTGACCTAGGGGATATCCCTAATGTGCCAAGCCGCGAGAGCTGGGGACCGGGCAGAGTGCCACATGGCTTGGCGCCTTAGGGATACCCCCTAGGTCAGTGAATGGCGCTCTGCCTGGCTGGAGAGGGGGTTTGGCAGGCGGTTGCTTGTGAGCTTGGTCACCTCATGGCTGCTTTGCCCCTGAGGCTGTGCCCGGCTTTTCAGGAGCCAGTTCGCAAGGGAGCAGCTGCCCGGCAACCCCAAAACAATAAGCCCTCCCCTATAATAAGCCCAAGAACATATTTTGTAAGTAAAAAGAAAATAAGACCCTGTAGTATTTTCGGGGAAACACGGTAGGTAGGTAGGTAGGT